AAGAGAAACTGGATCTTGGGAAAGTTTCTCTTATGAATCCCCAGAACATGCAAACTAGAAACACTGAGTAAGATATATACAGTGTATATGTAAACTGAATATAGATCTCAGTTCTCAAAGTCTCATTCATCCTGGGGACTCAGATAAGCAGTTAGAAACCACAGCAGCTCTCTGTCTTCCCTAGATGTTAACTCTTTGCCTGCAGCTTTCTTTAGGAGCTCATTTACAGTGCTGAGTCCCTTTGTTATTTCATCTTCAGGAAAGAGCAGCAAGCTTGGTGGGTACTCCCACCACACATAGCTAATTTTCCCTTTGGATTAGGGGGAGCATCTTTTAACAAGGAGGAATAGAGCGCTACGTTTTCCCAGAGTTTCCAGAGTCTGTCTTTCTTGAGATATTTGTGGGTTTTCTCATGCCTTCTGGTCTTTTCCAGTAAGCCAAAACCTCACGCTTTCTTCTCCTTCAGTGTCACTGCATGTTTGTCATCTCTAATAAAGCCATCCCTCCCAAAAATAATTCCGCGCCCTTTTTCAAGGGGGCTGGAAGGCGGGGATCACTGACAGCCCAAGTAACAAGCCCAGATCTTGAGAACTACCAGAATGATGTCCCACAGAAAAATATCTCATAAGATCTGAGGACCCCTCAAATGCCTCCCTCTGCCATGAGGAGGTAATATTTTACCCTGCTAAAGAGGGTGATGGGAAGAAAGCACAATTCTGACTCAACTAAACTGAGCTACGGGGAACTGCAAGCTCAAACATCACCCTTGTGCAGCTTCAGCATTTCAGTGTGTGTGGTTTCAACAGCTCCTCAGCTGCTATTGCTAGAGAGGTAATATTCTATTTACATCTAAGCTATAACATTTTGGCAAGAGTCCTCTCAGTTGTAACAGTTAGGGACTAGGGCAGTTAGGAACTATTCCTCTCTCTAACGGGGAAAGGTCAATATTTTTGTACTGGTTTTGCAATTTTTAGTATTGCAAAGAAAGCACTTTAAGCCTTTGTCCATTGCCTGAATGAATTAAGGAATAATATCAGACCACCCTACAAGCATAGCTGGATGGCTGTCATTTTTCAGCATTTTCCCCTCAACTAGTCTCTTAGGGAAATGAAACAAAAATGATCTGTTATCATTCACACAAGTAATTCAAACCACATTCCCCAGTCTTTAAGCGTATCCAGCATGAATCCAGCTGGAGTTCCCCAAAGCAACTTGCAAGTCATTCAATCACCGTGAAAGGAAACAAATACCTCAAAGAATGACAGAAGAAAAACACCTGAGAATAATTTTCATGAAAATTTACCAGTCTCAGAACAACCTCTGCTTGCCTGCCCTTGACAGCAAGGGAGGACAAAGAAAAAATAAAGATGCATTTGCACATCAATAAGGATTGTTTCCTACAGGAAACTATTTCTAGGCTCTGTAAAAGGAGTAACAACAGGATATACATCTTTGGCTATTTCCAGCAGATGAGAAAGAAAACACCTATTTCTTTCCCAGCGTACCTTGCTCCTAGATATGGTTGGAAATGGGGAACGCCTAGGGAAATCTATGTCACTGTGTCTGACAATTCCCTGCAAAGGCGTCCCACCTCTGGGAAGAGGGATTCATGCTTACTGCTAACAAAGTTATGATATTCTCAGCATTCACTTTCTCTTTCTATCCCCAAGGACAAATCAGAGAAATTGGGAATGCTCATGTCAACATAAGATTGGCAAATTTCAGTCCCAGTGCAAGTTAACCAAAGTGGACTTGCACGTGGATTTTCTTGGCTCCTTGTGTGCTCAATGAGCAAGCAACCTGCTCTTTCCTGACACCGCAGCACACGATACAGCACTGTTCCTTACAGACACTGACAAACCGTAGCACTTGCAGAAAAGCAACGCATAATAGAGATCTGGAAAAATTCAGACCAGCAAGGACATTCATGGCACTACACAGTTAAAAGAAAAAAGCAATAAACAGCTTAAAGATAGATGTGTGAAAGGGATGTTAGAAAGATAAATTTGGGGGTTTGGCTGATTTTAAGGGAGACAAGAAAAGGGAAGAAATCCCTTTTTTTCCCCCCAAAAAAGGGAAGTTCATCTTTTCTACAAATCCTTCTAAAAGAAACCACTCCCAAGCAGGAGGTGATTAATAATAAACAGTGAGCCAAATCACTATTAAACATGCAGAAGGGACCATCTAGATTAGTAAATGCAGCCTCTGCTGTCAGAGCAACCAGATCATCTATCCCTTTCCCATGCTGTTTGAGTTGCTCTTTCAAAAGAGACTTTTCCTTTTTTCTGCTCTCTGCTATTGAAGATTCTCTGGCAATCATTAAGAGCTCTTATTTTCAAGCTAGCTATAACAACAGCCAGCAAGTAGTTCTTCATTTTGTAGCAGCAGGGTTTTGTAACTTAATGTTCTCCTCCTATGGTATTTTTCCTCTGAGGTTTTTATGGAAGACTGTTTCCCAAGGGGTTATCAAGCTAAGCTGGAGCTTTATGTTCCCCAGGATGATACAAACACCTTTCCTTGATCATTTTTGTTACTCTTCTCTGAATGCCTTAACTGCGGTGAACCAGAGCTGTGCTTAGTATTGCAAACCAGCTCAGCCCAAGATTCATACAGCGCTATTCATGCTTCCCAAGCACTGGCAATGTCTTCCTTAGCATCCTAGGATGCTATTAACTTTTTTTTTTTTTTTTAAAAAAAAATATATACATGAATCAGTCATCATTGTTGGATGGACCAAGTCTCTCTTCTGTCCTTTCCACCTGAGGAAAGAGTGTTCCTAGCTTATAGCAACAGTTCTCATCAGTAATCTGTAACTGATCAACTGCGCATTTTGCACTGTTAAAGTTTACCTTACTTGTCCAGGCATAGCAATCATTACTTTTTTCCTTTATCACATCCCAAACCTAGAGCTTACTGCCAACTCTTCCAAGTTAATTATCCACAAACCACGTGAAAGTAAGTCAGTGGTGTTGGCAGAAGAAGTTAGACAAGTTCTAAATACAATACCAAGATCAGCCCTTGACAAAATCTTTCAGAGGTCATCCAGCATTTACAGTATTCACCCACAGTTCAACAGTTCTCTTTACAAGATCTCCTCTTTAGCCAAGGTCTTACCCATGTTGGAATAGTCTACAGATTCTTTGTGGCTCCACATCAGATACTTCCACAAAATCCATATGGACTGGGTCTCCTGCATTTCCTTCATCTAAAATATAGATGATCAGATAGTCAGCTTATTTTGGCATGATCAAGTTTTACTTGCAATTTCAGCCTGTCCATTTACCTTTATCTGCAACATACTTCGCAGGAGAGGGGAATAATAGAGCTCTACTTACTACAAGCACAGGAGTCTAATTGTCTCATTTTTTGTTCCCTCTAAAATATTGATACTACATTTAGTCTCTAATTATAGTTACACTCCTAAATTATCAGAATCCTTAAAATATTTTCTGCCAGAGCTGCACTTAACATACCTGTTTTTTCACAACTTTTGATGTGCTAATCAGGCCTGTGGAACGAACTGCTTTAAGCTTCATTTACACTCCAGATGCATTAACTTCAACATTTACAGCCTCAGCCCCTTCCCAGATGTCTGCTGCCAGAACAGGATTAGGAAGAGTCACCAGCTTTGAATAACCATAGTTAAGGGAGGAAACACTCCTTTACATTGCAATCTACCTAAAATTAGCAATAAATTTTGCCCCCTGGAGCTCTTCAAAAGCTCTGAGTTACTTCACTCAGCTCTGTAATGGCTCTGTAATGGCCAGGTGTCTCTGCTTTAGTGAAACCAGCCTTGCAATATTCCATTTACAAAACAGAAGTCCCTCCCCTTCAGGAGTTTCCACTGTTACAGTGTTTTGTTTGCATCAATTTGTTCATGAGAATTATAGATTCCTGTCCTGGCATTTCCTGCCTTTGACAGAAACTGTGCAGGGAGATAATGCTCTGAGTCAGCAAAAAGCGCACTTGCCAGCAACAGTGCATAGAAGAATAGAGGAGAGTTATTCGTCTTTGGAAATACTTTTTCTTTTTTCTCCCCAAAGAGCGCACTATCAAATTCAAGAGCGCTCTTTTGAGGAAAAAAAAAAAATACTACCACAAAAACACATTGAATAAACCTCACATGCTTTTAGGTTGCATCTATGTCAGTCTACATGGCTGCATTAATGTCAGCCTATACCTCAGTTAAGACTAGTTTGCCTTCATTTACGTACTTGGAAGCTAGGACATGCAACATGGAGAGCAAGGTGGATCAATCAGCATTAACATCAACTGAAAAAAGTCACCACAGACACGCTGTTTTAATACACATTTTGGAGTACTGAGAGGCTCAAAGCCTCAAATCAGACATCAGGCCCAGCTCCCTATTAAAGGATGGTAAGGATTCAGTTTTGGAACATGGTCTGGCTGAAGAAACATTGGACAGCACCAAGCAAAAACCCAGGTATATTTGCAGAACACTGACCCAAGTTAGGATTTGTGAGAAGTTCTGAGCAGTGATTCTAGGTCAAACATCCTTTCTTTTTTAACAGTAGATATCTAAGAATGCTTCAAATTCAGGGACAGTTATACCTGTGCCTGCAATCAAGTTTAAGCACTTTAAGGAATTTCAGCCTTAAGTCTTCAGTCTTCAGCAGTGGTTTGTACTAGCTGATGCTTTAAATGGGCAAAATTGTTCTGATCATCAATTATCAAATCTCAGCTGAAGGTCAGTAACACTTAGTTGTGCAGAGGTAACTGCTTACAGTATTCAAATCCAGCTGCAAGAAACATCTGACTTAAGTCATCCATGAAACCCAAACAAGAACATACCATACATAAAATACAGATAACATTGTTTTCAGCTACTTTAAAATGGCACAGGATAAAAAGATTCACAGGAATCTCCTAAGGAGTTACTTATTTTTAATCACAACTGTCCAGGCACTGGTATATCAATAATAAAAAAATTAAAAGGTTAAAAAATAGTGTACAGTTTAGCACAGAATGCAACATTTGAATAGGAGCACATAATTTTAATTTGCTTTTACGCTGAAAACAATCCAAACAAAAAAGTTAGCTATATAAATACAGAGTAAAATGCACATAGTTTACAGCAAACTACATGTATGCAAGAATAGCAGCAAACCTCACATAAGCATTAAAGTACTCTCAAACTGTCATTTGTGAGTGTTTAGCTATGACTCCTAGGGCATAATTATGTTCACATATGCAGGGTAGGCAGATTCTCTTAAATAGAGGAAACGAAAACTTACATGACCAAGCCTTCACAGACAGAAAGTTAAAGAGAAAAAGGTTACATTTACCGAGGCACACTTCAGTGTTCAGCTTGTTTTCTGAATTTAAATAGATTTTAAATATGAAGCAACATTTAGAAAGGATCTCCAATCTTTTTCTCTGGAAGCATTCCTTTAAAATGCTACACTCCGAGGAATGTTACAAAGATAGTTATAAAGAACACAAACAGTATAACAGAAACTGTCATTACCAGACACCTCAGTTAGAAAGGAAATGTACAGAGTGCATTATGTAAACAGGGAACTATATTGGTGTAAGGACAATATACAAGTGGAGAGGCTGATGTTTCAGTTATGTACAATTAAAATAACCAAAAACAATCTCCGAGATACCCAAGTGTAAGCCTACTTAAAAACAACATACACTAGCAGATGAGAAACAGAGCAAGAGCAGACCTAGCAGCCAGCTGAAAGGCTGGGCCTGGTGCACCATGATGCCCAGCACTCACCTGCTTCGCCACCGCAGCGCAGGCGCTGCCCAGGAACAGGGGCTGCAGCACCTGATTGCACCTCCACAGCACTTGTTCACACCCGGGCATCCTCCCCTGCCGGGTCACACCACGACGCTTCAGGTACTCCAAGGACAGCCCCTGCTGGCACACACACAGCAACCCCCGATCTGGGCATGCTCCAGTGCCATCTTTTGATGGATGTAGAAAACTGCAGTCTTGCACAGTCTAACTGATTGCCAAGTTAAATATCATTGCAAAATGTTACTTTTAAGTTTCATCTAAGCACAGGACATATGTGGAAAGAAACTCATCACTGAGAACAGCTTCACACACCCAAGGCCTTTGCCTCTGTAGCTGAGAAAAAGTGACATAAGCACTACATGAAAATATAAAGTGAGATGACCATCTAAGTTACAAGGAAGTTTGAATGTACTTTCAGTTTTTTAGTTAAGGATATCACTGAATGTAGCATCTTATTCCCTTTGAGATTTTATTATAAAGAAAATTTTATAAATAATTTAAAGATCTTTGGGAAATATTTCAGAGGTAACTTTGTACTGCTAGTTAAAAAATAAGACAAAAATCCCAAGTAACTTTGGGCTTATATTTTGTTACATAAAAGCAAACAAACAAGAATAATCACCCCTGAAGTTTAAAACATCGCCTAACCCCCAATTAGAAAAGTGGAACAAAAAGCTGATTGTCTCCTCTTGGCTGTTAACAAGGACAGTTGGGTATGGGAGTTCACATTTTCTACTTTAAAACTTCTGTTTTTGAAGTGATTGCATGGAGCCTGTCCTCATTCAGACAAGGCACACACATGGTACCCAGCAAGCTAACAGAGGAGAGGTACATGCAACCAAGGGGAACTGATCCACTAAACAGAGTAACTCATGAAACCTAGGCTAATCCAATATCAACTGTATTCATGAACTTCAACACTGAATAAAGTCTCCTGCATTTTCTTGCCAACTGGAAATTTAGCTATGACTGAACCATCTGGATACCCAAAGAGTAACCTACTTTCTTCAGAACAGAGATTCTAGTAACCGGCTATTCCTGTACTTAGTTATCTGAAAAATGTTATCATAGCAAGACCTAAAAAGCCAGAGAGTCAATAATAATACAAAATACTGCAAAATTTTTTCTGGAAATATTATTAGAAAAAAAGCCCATTTTAGAAGATACATTTAAATACTCCCCTTGCTTGCTTAACATAATCACGTTCATTTCTAGGCAAATTGCAGACCATGGTATCCCTTCTTTAAAAAGGGCAAGATGATTTTCCAACAACAAGTCAATCCAGCCAAATCTCCACTGCAAGGACACTACAGTGGGCACTGCACTCTGTAGGCGGCTCTTAAGAGGCATGAGCAATTAGTACAGAGAACTATGTAGAGTACTGAAATATTTCTGACATAGTGTGGAGGACATGATGGGGTCAAAATAAGGCAAAACAAATGAAAAATCAGACTGATCATTCTGTAAGCTTTGAGCCTTTACACATAACCTACAGAACTCCTGCAAGAGATCCTATTGATCTACAGCATATAATGCTTTATCCTGCAGAGCTCAGATGGAAACCAAACCACATGCTTTGTTTAAAATAGAACTGCACGTATTGAATGCAGGTTTGGGCTATAGATAACCAGTAAGAGAAAGAAGAGTCACAAGCCAGAAGAAGGCCACAAAGTGCATAAGTCATTCATAAGATAAAGCCATTGCACACAACACAGTTAAGTATACTGAAGTACCACACTGGAAGAGCTGACTGCACAGTTCTGTCATACCAGTGTAGCAGCATTTATGTATAGAAAGCTATGGCCCCTGATTTATAATGTCACCTTCCTCATAAGGACCATGGATGCAGTTTGAGAAGTAGTCAAGGTGCAGATGAAAGGTTTGTTTACAAAGCTATATAAGTTCTTGTAACATTAAACCTCTGACATTCCAGCTGTATGGTTTTGGAAAACCCTGTAAATTATGATAGAACAAACTAGCTAAGTCCTGCTGCTGAATGCAACACATTGTTCTACAAACTACTGGCAAAAGAATGAAAAAATAATGCCTGAATATTCAGACAATTCAGGGGACAAGGTTATACTGTCAGCTGCAGCTCTGTACGCAGGCTCAAGTTGAAAGAAGTGATACAACAATTTTAAAAGGGAATGCTTACAAAATATTCTCCATTACGATTTTCTCCATCACTCTGATCAGAGGCTCACTACACTGAAAAAACTCTTAACTCCAACTTCATTTTCCGCTTTCTGGTTGTCTTAGCCACGGTGATATGTGTTCTTCCCCTGTACTCCAATGCAGGTATTTGTAAGCTAGGTCAGGCTTTGCAAAGAGTAGTTTCAGGATAATATAACTTATTCTTGGGAAGCATGAAACTGAGAAATCCTGTCTTCACAAACAGTAGGCTGGACTAGTTAGGATATACCATTACACTGACAATCCCTAAGGATACTATTAAACAACATTCAGCAAATTCTTCCTTAGTTGCGCGAGTGACCTGACAAGTTGGCAAGGAAAATTGATAGAGAATGTTTTATGGGTCTCTTGCTTCTAGAAAGGAGGGGGGAGAAAGGGGGGGAAGAGATGATGCAGCAGAACTAGAAAACTGCGTACACCAGTATTAAGAGCTTGGTAACCTGAGGAGTTCAACAATTCGATCTTCTCTCCTAACCTACAACACTGCTCAACCATCAAGGGTAGGGTGGAGGGTTAAGTCACCTTTTGCAGTAAGGAAATATTTCAGTTCTGTGTCCCTGCGCTATATTTTACCTTGAGGTAGCAACATGGAAATACTACACATGCCAAATGCTACCTCAGTCTCTGTAATACAGTCTTCAGAGCAGGTGAAAGTCGTTTCAGGTATGGAAAGGTATAAGTATGTAATCTGATCTTCCCCATCCTTCCAACAAGGTTACTGTGCAATAAAACAGAACAGAAAAGTGCACTGAAGAGCGATCACTTAGAGAAGCAAATAGGGCTGACCTCGGATTTATTTCATGCCCCCCTGCTCACTCATCAGGCCTCTGAAGCTGACTGAATGGCCTTGTCTAAATTAAGACATGTAAAGCAAACAGCAATTTTGAATTAAGAGGTGTGTAAAGGCATTCCCTAAGGGGCAGCCCCCATTTGTCACATTGCCAAGAGACCATACAATAAGGCAGCACAATTATTCATAGTTGCCCACAATCAATCTTCTATTTCATCCATAGCTGCATGTTCCTGATACAATTTTCCTTCTGCCCATGACACCAGCATTAACATTTGGTGGTCCACTGCAGTCTTTCAGTCTTCCACCTTCCTCTAGAAGGCCTTGTGACACTGCTATCCATCCAGCAGGTAGACTACCACTTCATAGGTTGACATCATGATAGCTGTGTTTGGAATCTGTCTGATCAGATGTGTAGTTAAACCTCGGTAGAGGGCTCCATATCCTTCTTCTCGCACAAGCAAAGATAATGTCTGGAAGAAAGATCTGTATTTTGTTCCCTCTTCTCTTAGCCTTGTTCGTACAACCTCTGCATAAAGAAAACCACATGTTATGTCACCACTGTCTTCCAGCAACCAGTTAATGATTTTAAATCAGAAAGCAACCTTCCCCTTAAGTTCTCAATATCAGAAAACTTCAAAAAACCTCCAAAAAAAAAAAATCAGAAGAGGAAGACAAAGAGGGGCAAACTAAGCATTTGGAAGAGCAAAACAAGTTAGATGTTTAGCTAGCGTCAGATATTTAGCTGAGCAAATGAAGTTAGTTTGCTTCGAGAACATCCAGAAGAGGACTGATGTCTGGGCTCACATTTTAGCTTGGAGCTTGCCATCAGTGAAGTACCCAACCCACCAAAACCTCAGGAGTATATACAACTACTTTACTGGAAAATCAAGTGCAACTAAAAACCCAACAGGACAGCAACATGAAGAATGACATGTTAGCAAGTACTGCCTTGCCTGTTTTCTTAGAAGGAAGATACAAACTCACTGATGAGTTATGAGAAACTGCAGAGTGCAGAGAGATTCCAGGTGGAAGACTACTGTATCCCTAAATATTTCTGGGCAGACTCCTGGCAAACCCTTTGTGGGTGCAGGGGAGGGGTGTGGGAAGGGGGGAAGCAAACAACACCTAAAAGGAGCCATGCTAAATATCCTTTTGGAAGTATTTTCCACTTTTATTTCTGAACACTATGAACTCCTGTTGACTTGCTGAATCAAAAGTAAGGAGCATCAGACAAAGAAATAGCTCTTCTGGACTCTTGAGCCAGTGAACCAGAGGTCTGTCAGAAGTCATTGAAAAGACTCCTATTGACTGCTTTGATTGAGACATCCCACTTACCATGAGGATATGCTATAGATGTTGCACAAGTTTTAGAAGTGGCAGCAGCCATCATCATTCCAACAAAGTCCGAAGCTTCCTTTGATGAATCATCCTCATTGTCCATGCCAGAAGCAGTTTTATACTCCAGTAGTTTTCGCTTAATACTCTCATAAATAACAAAATGAATAACAGTCTCAGATATGCCTGCATATGATGCTGACATTCCTCTGTAAAAGCCTTTAATACCATCTGATCGATAAACTTTCTGGACACATTCAAAAGCACTCATTCGCCTTTCTCCACGATTCCTGAAAAGAGAAGAACAAAATAGACATGAAGCTGGTGCAACTAGAGACTGAAAGATAATTAAGCAGCGTCCCTTGAGTGACAGTGGAACTTCAGAAACATCTCACACTGATGCCAAGGGCTCCAAATCAGATATGCTTCAGAAAACAGAACTTGAAGTCAGGGTCCCAAAGGCCTTCAGCACTAGACACTGACAAATGTTGTTTTATCCAGGCCAAAGGTTAAATTGTGACTAAAGAAACAAACACCATACATAGTTGTCAAACAGTTCCAGGTCTGTTCAAGTCTCATAGGACTGTGAATCAAATTGCCTGAAAATTGACAAGTGAATCAAAAGTTTGTGAGCTGGGGTGGAGGAAATTTTTTTTTTTTTTTTTTTTTTTAAATGTAGAGATCAGGTGTCCTCCCACCTCAATTTTGCCTTACATGAACAGCTCCTATAGCCTCACAATTACCCATTCTATTCTAGAAGTACAGGTCTTGCAATACAGCCTTTAAGATTACACAACTGTGAGGCACACTAACAAAGGGGTAGCTATGAGTTCAAACATCATGCCTCATACACCACTACAGTTCTTAGTGAAGAGCTTGTAGGTCTGGTCTGAAGAAGGCACACCAACCAATATAATGAAAGTAGCTTTTATTTGATTCCACTAAGCCACAGCTGACGTCAAATATACTCACTAGATTTTTTTCCCCCCTCCCATGCTCATTTCACACTTGAATATTGAAATCTTAAGTCTTCAGCCTCTTGCTTTTTACTTTGTGATGTCAATGAAATGAACATCAAAAATAAATTTCAGATTATGCTAGACACTATCAACCTATATATATGTGGGCATTGCACATCCTGAAATATTTAAAACACTGTATACAATTGCACAAAACCTTTATGACACTGCATAAAGCATGCTTCATTGCAGCACTTGAGTGCAGTCACTTGAAGCACCTGGATTCTGCCAGCAGAGGTCTCCTGTTGGAGCAAGGAAGCAGCATGGAATAAGACAGTAACTATCCTTATGAGAAACTACCAGATCACATGGATATGTCAAAGCAAAACAGACAGCAACAGTACCATTGTGCAATTAGAATGAGGCATCACTAGATGGCAGAATTTAAAGCCTGATGTTTTGAACCTGCTTTATCAGACAGCAGTGAAACAAGGTACCAAGCACAATTAAGAGTGTCATTTTGGAGAAAGGAAAAAAAGCAGACAAACATGTACACATAGCTACAAATCAGATCAGGACTGAGGTAAGCTGCTGATGCTGCAGAGGAGTGGATAATACTGCTGACATGACAAGAGAACTGAGCAGAAGTGCAGCTGGAAAGAGGAGCAGAAGGACCTACAGCTGCAGCTCCTGAGGACAGCCCATATCCACATGACCCATGCGAGGGGGGGAACCACAGAGACTGCTTTAAGAAGCAGCTCTTCTGATGTGTAAGATGAACTATGTTGCATTAGCCTAAAGCAGTTTCACTTTGATCCCAGTAAGACCTGGAAGAAGTTGAGTTTTGTTCCCAATGGGAGTTTTGAGAACTTCAGCACAAACAGGATCCGGGCAGGATAATCCTCTATGCCGAATGTTCTCTGCCTCTAGTGACAACTCGATTAGAAGAGCTGAAAACAATACATAGTAGTGCTGGGTTAGCCTATATAACTGTTGTCCTGCACTCAAGGACAGAAAACACTTCCTCTTGCACGTCTCCCCCATGAACAATGCACTTGATGCTATGTACAGGAGTAACGCACAAATTCCGTAACTTTCCCTCAGCCATATGGTTTAAGTAAACTGATTAATGGAAAAAGACAAGTATAAGACACTATCAGGTTGCACATACACCAAAAAACACTGCTGTCATGGAATCATCACCCCAATTGCATGGTAGCATCAGAAGACGACTCGCGATAAAACTAGCTCTGGATGTGTTTACTACTGTCATCTTGCAGCAGAATATGCCTGCTAAGAGGAAGAATGCTAGTATGTGCATTAATACAGAAAGACCAATTGACCCTTAAAGTAGGAATTTTAGGGAGTTAGTATTTCAAAAATATTTGGCAGTTTGTATCAAGACAGTAGTGCCTAGTACAGTAATTTTGCCTTATAATCCCTCCCTTCCCCCCCACTAATTTAGACAGCATTTACCTGGAATTAAAAAAGGATACTGACCTTAATCAACTAATCCACTCAGACAGAACTCTAATATTTTGAGTTAGTTTAGTTAAAAGCAATACAGAAATAAAAGTTTCAATGGCAGCTTCTACAACTAAAAGCAGTTTCCAATGACAAATTGACTGTTTTTTTTTTTTTTTTTTTTTAAGTTTTAATGACATTTTGATGCCTAGTTACTTCTTGGGATATACACTGCCATGACTTGGCTTTATGAGAATCCCGAGACAGTAAAATAGTTAAACTCTGCACAACATCTACAGTTCTTATACAATAGATCAGAACCACTTAACAGTTACCTGTTCCCAAAGCAAATACTACTACACAAACAAAACCTCACATACTATTGTGGCACACACTAGCAGAAAGAGCACTTCAACTGTTAAGATAGCAGAAACTTCAAATGTATATCAGGGCTTACGTTTGGTACGTTTCATTCCTCTGTACATCACCCATTAGCACATTCTGCCCATACAACCTTCAGAGACTCAGAGGGAGGAATTAAGCTGACTTCTTTGCAAACTTTGTACTTAGATTTTAGACTCTTAGTCTACTGAACTCTCTTAAAACAGAGGGATAGGATTAGTGTTGCCTACACTTATAAATTAGGCTTTCTTTCCCCCCCGCCCCCTCAAAAAGATGAATCTTAGTTGACAGAACAAAGTCACTAAGATGATTGTGAAGGAAAGAAAAACAACAACAAAAACCCATTATCACAGAGATACATCACACAGGAAAGTTTGTGATTTTCTGGGCTGATGTTTTCACACTTCACTACTAGAAAAAGGAACAGGTGAGCTGTAAAGCAGTTCTGGCTCATTAGTGGATGAAGGGTAGATGAAGTTATCTGATACTGTACATCAAGTTTCCAGAAAGGCAGTCTATAAAAGTGAACAAGACAGCTTCACTGAGACACTTGCAGCATATCTATTTAGAACTGTAGGGAGACTCAGATAAAGCTCTTCTTACAGACCTTGTAATAGGGTATAATTATTTTATGCAAATAGTCAGGGAAGAATAAACGCTTTCCATAATTGATTTTGTGGTGACCCCAGACAACTTCTATTGACTACCCTATGTTAGGGCAATTTATGTGCCTGGATTGATGAAAGTCACGCTTTTATAGACTAGAGCTCATATGTGAAAGAAATGGAAAACTGTTTCAGGTATTATCCTGAACTTTTGCTAAAATGCTAACATCCTTACTTCACTGTTTTTAGCTGTTGACGTAAAAATCCCTGGAAACATACTTGTTTTTTTACGCATTAATTCATGACTGACAAAACACTGAGACTTAACTTTGTCATTCATTCAGAATCTGTCGGCCAGAGACTACTGCAATACCTCAGGCATGCCTTAATAACATGGAGAGACTAAAACAGAGAACAACAGTAGCGTGACTTGTAGAGAGATCAGTACCAACTACGTAATTTGAAGTGTTGACTATTAAAAGAAACATTTCTTGAGAAGCAGAGCAAATTCACAATATCACTCCAAGCAAAACCTTATTATGGCAGTAAGGTTTCCAATTGTCACTACTAAGTTCTCTTAACGTTCTTACCTTGCATCGAGCTGTAATCGTGTCTTTACTAGCCAAATGGGATTGGTGGTTGTGATTGCAGTAAAACCTAAATAAACATTTTAAAAAAGTTAGATGTGATAGGATCATGATAGCCCCACAAAAGCAACTGCACCTAAGTTGAAACACACACAGTAAGGTACAGTTGATGAAAAAACCTCAGACTATACTGATTTTTAGAAAGTACCCATTGTAGCCCTTTAACAATATTTCAAGAATCCATACAGCCAATAAACATTATTTTTAGAACGAATTTTATATTAATATTTTGAAAGTCTAATTCTTAGCCAGAGTTTCCCCAAATAAAATAATCCCAATTGTGTGCATTTCTCTGCCTGTCCACTCATACCAACCCTGTTTTGACACCACAGAACAGCAAAGCTAGCTAGACTAGTGTTAGCCAATTAGTTTGGAAACATTTCAAGAAGAGCATGTTGCAAATACAGCTATAGCAATTCAAGATAGTAGAAAACGTTATGTCAATTTAATTTTCTACCTGAAATACAATCTGAGTTTAAAAGCATGCAAACTGAATCAATACTACTTTTGGTGTAGTTAAGAGGCATATATTACTGCAAGTTAAGAGATTTTTTTTTAAATACTTAAGTATAAACAGCAGTTAAATTTGAGAGCTAATGTTTTATTTAGTATTTAAAGCAAAGATTGTTGGTTGGCCCAGAAATACTTATACAAGCATATGAGTGTTTTCATTGTTAAGATATATAGTATGGCTTCTAATTATCCAGACAGACAGCAACTATTTGGGCTTACACCAGGGCAAAGTGTTAAAACTACGATTTTCAGTCCACTAAAGAAAAAAAACAGAAGAAAAAGAAAAAAGGAAACAAATTCAAAAAAAATGTGAGAATCACTCTTACTTCTGTACAACTGTGGAGAAAAAAAGAGCAGAGTGAAAGGCAGCTCTGAAAAAATAAAAATAAAAAACAAAAAAACATCTAGAGTTGTAATACCACACGTGCACCGTTAATGAGGTGACATGTCTGCAGGAGGGAAAGGGAAGGACTGGAACATGGCCAGGCAAGAGATGGTAAATTTAGACGCTCTGCTTCTTAAGTGACACACATCACTTGTATATCACTATGAAGACATGCTGCCCTCCTGCAAGGGAGTGGACTAGGGCTGAGGGAAAGCAACAAAGACTGCCTTGTTCAGTGCATTATCTGGTGCATGATACTTATACAAAGAGGTGGCTATTGATAAGCTTGTTTATGGAGATCATTAACAGCTTACATATATATATATTTAGCAGAACTGCTTGCATACTGGTTACTTCTGTTCAATCACAATCTATGTTTACATTGTACACAAATGACTGAAATACTCAGAGAGAAATGCCAGAGGATCTTAACTGTTTTAAGGTTTAGGTACCCCCCCCCAAAGTCTTCAGAATAGGTCATTAGTATTTCCAGTTACAGTTCTCAAGACAAACTATTACTACCTGTAAGGTTAAGTAGCTACTAAGATTTGACTGTATTTCTGTGTCAAAACAGCAAAAAAAAGCCCTTAGCAATTTCATGAATCTTTGATTGAACAAATAGGTTTTTAAACTGACTCCAACTCCCAACTGAGTAACTTCATGTGAACTCACTGGGTAGATAAGTTTGTTTGTTTTTTTGAAAAGAGACATTACTTATTTTTCTATGGCTAGACACATATGATTAAGAGTGAAATCTTAACAAGCCAAAGTAGTAGTGTTTTATATCCACTGGTGTATAGAGCAACAGGGAACTACTTTGCCTTAACAAGGCACAGGATGTCCTTAAAAAGGCACATCTGCAAAAAAGGTTCTGCAGTTCAGGTGGCTGGAGCCTTTCCTCACATATCAGTTTATGCCATAGAAACTCCACCAATTCCAGCATCACTCAACCCTGCACTGCGCTAAAGTGAAATATTCTTATATTTTAAGATTTTTTTTTTATACTAGCACTAACAAAGCTTTAAGTTTCTTTCTCTACTTCAAAACAGAAGCTTTCCAGATTTACATGACAGTGAAATGCAATATGTGCAGGATTGCAGCAAATATACTGAAATAAGGCAGGGGAAAAAATAACTTTCCCCCTATCAAACACTATCCAGAGAAGACCTCTCCCTCAAGAAAAAAAACATTATTCTAAAGTCCCTCCTACTTTTTAATCACTTGTCCACAAATGTTTTGAGTCAGCCTACAAGACCAAAAAAAAAAATCTGCATCCCTATTTAACTTTTTCTAAGTTACATGTCTCTGGAATTTTTTTTTTTGTTATCACTAACCTATGTTTTATAGCAGTATTTCTCTGCTCAGCCCTTTCTCCTCCCTATTCAGCATAAAGAACTGGTCTGTTAATCCTAACCCATAATAGAAAATACATAGCTGAGACCAGAGGCAACATCCAAGCAGCAGTAGTGACTACTTTTGCCCAGAGCAGAAGCAGGCTATTTCTAGGCAGAAAGGAGTACACTGGAATTTGCCAGTAAATGCTGGTTGGCAAAGGACACAGCTGTGCCCTATTCCATCTAAACTCACTCTCCCTGGGCTGCTCCAAGTATTATTTAATCACAGCACTCCTAACAGTAGGAGGAGATACTTTACAACATAGCTAGGTTTTTCCTTAGGGCTGTTTTAAGCCTAAACAGAACAGTTTGGACTGAAGCTTTCAAATCAAAGAGCCTTCAATAATTCAGGTGTCTGAGATGAGATCACTGCAGCTCAGTTCTAACAGGTAATACAGTTAGTGGAACAAGCAAAATACATTAAGTTGAGCAATGCTGACCTCAAGGATAGCTCTCAAACAGAAAATATCCAGAATTTTGGGATCTCTTTGATAAGATAAGCTTTCTTTTTAAATATAGAAAATCTGTAGCAAAAGTACTGGTTAAAAGAAAGTAAGGGTGAGGGGCTTTCAACTACTACTATGAAGGTCTGTGGCTCTCTATCCCAATGCTTTCCCCCCCCGCCCATGCTCATCTCAACTGTGATCTTTATAACACTTAAAGTTTATGAATGTGCTGTATCCTCAGGAAAGAGTTAAGACTGCAGATTCATTGGGAGTGCAGATCGATCTGACAATACCAGTTCTTCTACCTCTTTCTATATTCTAGTTCCCTCTAGAAAATTTTATTCACGTTCTAGAGGGAAAGAACTCAATCTGTTTGTTGAGCTATACCAGCTAATGACAGGTAAGATCCCAGGTATTCCTATTGTGCATCACATTTCAAAGGTTAGTTTTTTAATCTATAAGCCAGTGTAATTGATACAGACGCATATGAATATGGAATGTGGAATTAGAAATTCAAAGTAGTAAAATAAAAACAAACTAAAAGAAAACAGAAAGGGACAGAAAGGAGACAGTATACATTTAAAAAAGACAAAGAAAAAGAAAAAAGGTTTTTGAAACAATGTGACAACACAGAATATCAGCTGCAGCATTTTAAAGGCAGCTCTGGGACACTGGAAAAAAATAAAAATAAAAAGGCCTAGTTTAACCAAGTAAGGGACCTTCAATTAGCCAGCAGAGCTAAATAAAAGTAGCAGACAGTGAAAGGTATTTTCCACCTTTCCCTGAACCGCACCAAAAAAATTAACTCTTGAATAGAGTCAAGGAGAAGTGATGTCTTTGCACAATGCACATAATTTGAGTTCAAGATAATGAAAGTGAATTCCCAAAACTGTGTTTATTTAATAGATATTACAAACCCAACATGTGGTTCTTACACTAGAGGCTGCAAGAGACGCTCAGTTCAGTACTCACGAGGTTTAAGTTAGTCCATATTTCTGCAGGAAGTGACCTGCGGATGGGGAGCATGAGATGACACGATCTCACTCTTTTCACGGGAGAAATGTACAGTAAATGCCTAAAATAGACACAGGCTTTTCTGTATCATAACAACAAGCAGTGACCTCATCAGATACATGTGTACAAATTGAATCCCATTGGAAGGATTTGTGAATTAATTATTGTGAGATCTACTTTTTTCAGGTAAAAGTTTAGGAAAAAAAGAAAGAAAAAATAATCAGAACAGGCCACAGATATTAAAATAGTTGTGTAAAATGCACTGAGTACTGAAATTTCTGCCCATTTGCAGCAGTTCAATTTTACAGCTCAAAATACTTACCTATAAGTCAGATTTTATAAATGAACCCTCCTCCTCCCCCACTCCCCCCTCAAAATACCATTCAAAAAGAATGCTAACCTTGTCACAAAGGACTGAAAGTACAGGTAAGATGCCTTATGAAATCAAGCTTTCCAGTATCAGTAGTAAGCGAACCAAGTACCTTTTTTATTTGGTATTTGTCAAGTTAACTGTGTATGTACTACTAACAAGTTTTAAAAGTATGGCGCTTCTGCAAATAGAGCAGTCCCAAATTAAGTAAAGGCTACGCTTGGCTTGGTTTGCCAGTTGGAGTTTCAGAAAGACTGGTAATACTATAATAGGCAAAGTAGTTTTGTAGTGACAGATTTGCAACTACGCTGTCCGAATAAGGCTATGAATCATTAAAAAGAAGGCAAACTAGAAAGCCATACAGGAAACAAGCACCTCATTCAGTTCTCCATGCGAGTTTTTACCCTTTGTTGAGGTAAAAGGTTGAGTAAGTATATTAAGAAGGCAAAATTTATATCAAATCTGAGAATTTAGCATAACTTTGGAATGTGCAGAAATAAACTGTCTTCACACAGGCAAACATTCTCATTCTCCTCGTTGCAGGACGCTTCAGATGCGTTCCCTGTCAAAGTTTGCAAAAAGAGAATCGCGTGATATGCTAGATGGCAAGTGAAAAGTGTTGCTGAGTATGTCTTTGTGCTGATACACTGGTATTTTAAGAGATGAAGGTAATGTGAATTATATGTCGGAAGCTAGCACACAGCAAGAGGAATTACATTCATTTCTAATTGCATAAGGCATCAGTTCCTAGTATGTGGCATCATTGATCCTCCTCAAGATAAAAAACTAAAAATTGTAATAAAACCAAAAAAACATGTTCTATCTTGAGAAGGAAGAATCAGGCCTCAGAGCAAACAAAAGAGGCTTAAATTACACTCAGGATTTTGACTATCAACACAAAACTTCATTAACAGAACTATAAAATACAGTACCTCAGCTTCTCGATCCAAAATATACTATGTGCATAATATAACCCTTATTAACAATAAGGTTAGTCTGGCCTTAGACACTCATGCATTAACATAGGGTAAACACTGTTAGGTAAACACTAAATTAGGTAAACACTATTTTTCAGGTTGACTATTTACAGTACTTTCATATAACACATGCATGAGCTAGAACTAGGAACAGCTTACAGAAAGTTAAGTTTTTAAAATATTTTGCATCATTATTGCATTTTGCAGTACGCAGGGAAAAATTTCACAGTACAGCCACCACCTCATGATCATTAGCTAACAGTCTTCATGTAAGAGATTAAAGTAAAATTCAAACAAAAATCCCTGTCATTTGAGACCAAGTTCCTTACTGAAACCAATGGCAGCTGCAAAAGATAAAAATGATTATTTTTACTAGTTGTTAAAAAATTTTATGTTGGCAAGGTGAATAAAGGCTTAAGTTCCAAAAGGCACGTTATCATACGCTTCTGTGTTAACCTGTTTAAGTCAGACACTTAAGAGCTCACATTAGATCTTGTCCCTGCATTTTGCCAATTCCTTAAGTTGACTTGCATCATATAGCAATACAAACCTTGCAGGCAAAATTTTAAACGCATTTTTTGAAATACATAGTTACATAATAGAATTATAAAAACAACAAGGTTAGTACTTTCCCAAAAAGTACTGTTAATTTTCATTACAGCTCTTTACATATAAATCAAAATAGTGCCAGTACGTTGTTTGTCAAAGAACCTTCTTTTACAGGGCTTCCAGAGAAGGTCTGGATTATACAGCGCTAAGCTATTTCAAGAGAGAAAAATGACCTGTAGCATGAACTCGCTTTCAGTTTCACCAGCTATATGGTTTACACATACAACTGCAAAACTAAATACATGTGAGGAAGATACAGCCACAGAAGTGTTGAATATTAAAGCTGCTATACAAGTGTAAAAAAGTAAACAGTAAGTAAGAGTCAAAGACATGTACCCCAGTCTCCAGTAGTCATAAATGCAAACACATAATACTAGCCTTTTGGAAGGGAAACAAGTCAACATGGAACAGATGCAGAACCCCCTGATAAACCTGCAGCTGAAGCCTGCAGCTGCAAGTGCTTGGGAACAGCTACAGTGGCACATCTCTGCAGGACTTCTTTTCACTACAGAAAGAGGATAGCAGCTTCCACACCACTCTGATCCTTTAGTTACTGGTGATACTGCATAATTTATACAAATAGTCTCCAATCAAAGAGAGCATTAATCCTTTTTTCTTATCTTCAGCTCATTGTCAACCATGTGTAATAAGAGGAAAAGTTACATAAGTAGGGTTTCTGGAACAATTAACTGATTGAGATGAACTTTCCATGAAACCCCTTCCACCCCCTTCCCCATTCAACACTATTCACCTACAAACAAAAAAAACATTGCCAAGTGACAGAAATATACTCAATCTTCTGATGACATGCGCATTCCATCTTGCCCATTAAGACGGAACAGCTGCCCTTATGTTTAAGTCACAACAAGTAAATATTGCAACCATATTTCTCAAGCACTAGAGACAAATGTGATACATAAGCAAAAGCTGATATAACTTCAATTTACTATGCTAGACATCAATTTCTTTGCATCAGAGTTAGCTGGTATACACAGAAGAGTTATCCTGTTCATCATTCATGTCACAACTGACAATTTTGAATATTGCCAGGGCTCAGGTTATCTACACTGGTTGTCAAATTTGACATCAGTTAGGAAGTTCAACAGGCTACTGTAATACAGAAGCTACCGGCAAGGAGTCTATGGCCTAGACAGGAGAAAGAAACATGTAGGAAAGACACTGGCAACAACAGGCAAAGTATTGCCAGCTGAAGTTTTGACTTCCCCAGCACAAGTCCATTGTTGGAACTCAAGCTTGGCTTTACTTCCCCTTGTTCACAATCCCAACACAACGGATCACAAGCCAAGCAAAGATTGGTAATGGCTAAAATATACCAAAGTTACATTGCAGATTAAAGTAGGAACTAGTTGCCAGAGACAATCGATGAATACCACAGAAATCTGCTCTTTTATGCTGTATTAGTGGTAGAATAAACTAAGTGAACCACTACTTTAGCAAAGGATGCGTGCATTTTTTTTTTTTAAACAAGTATCTGCAGGCATATTTCAGAAAGACAAAAATAAGTCAGATGCACAAAGCTGTAATAGATAAAAGTGAAAATAATATATTAAAAAGTGTTAAGCCAGAGTTCAGTGCAGACTGTCATTTTTAGCTTGCAGAGCAAAGATAATTACTGTGTTGAAAGTGTTCATTTTACTTTTCACAAAATATCATTGAAGCAGGCACGCAATTTTCCTAGAAAAGACTATTCACACATACACAGTTAAATATCTCCATTAACATTAAGTGCAAACTTTCACACACAATCTCCAGATGGCTTTTGTGTCTACTAGGAGGCCAAAAAAGATAATGCTACAACTAGAAGTCAATCACTGAGTAATTTCTGTTGGGTTTTTTTCCCTCCCCCTCCTCCCTCTTCCCCATTTATTGTCATCTCATTTGTCAGTAGGACTCTAGAATGAAGAGGCTAAAAAGTTACAGATCCTTACCTGCCACACCAGCTGAAATCATGTGTACCTGGGTAGAATCTGGATTGAAAATATTGTTCAACTTTTCCTTGCAGTTTGAGTAAGCAGCAAAATATATGGCTCTAAAATCAAAACAAGAACTGAGTTATGTTACATTTTACGCTTCGATGCACTTATGAGCCGTGTCACTGACTTCACTAACTCTAAATGATCTTGCTTGAAGTTCCATCTCCTAAGTAAAAAGCTACTCAAGGAATAAATCTTACAACGCTCTAGGAGTGAACGCGTGAGTATGTTTTACAGCTTTGTTTCTTCCTCGCAGCCAATTAACACTTGGTGAGGGAAGGGACAGATGGTTGTAAATACAGCAGTGTTTTTTGTGATACTAGGAAATGTCACCAGGTAAGTAAAACGCTGCTGAACTGAGAATCGAAGTTACACAACTGTATCGCTTCAACAAAACATCAACTTTTTTCTTGGAATTGTAATGCTATTGAAATGAGCTTATGCTGTTAGAACATCGGCAAGCACGCTAATACATTTTATTTTACTAAAACAGCACATACGACCATATTTAAAGAGGTAGAAGAGCTGTAAAGATGAGATCTGCTGTTTGTTTTTTTAGTTCTGTATTTAGAATAGATGCTTATTTTTCCCTCCTGAATACATAAGATAAATACTTATAAACTAGTACTACATTAAATTAGGTAAGCTGATAAATCACAGTTAGATACAAAAGTTAGAATGTCAACGCAAAATTATGAAAAAAGCTCAGTAAGACTATAAAACTGATTTTCTAAGTACACATAGAACTGACATTTGAGGCTGGTAACTCAGGTTTCTGTTTAAATGACTTACAGTCTACAGAGACAAAAATGAACATGAGTTTTCAGGAACAGAACATTAACCTCATTAGCTGTGCAAACATGTTTCTTTTATAAAAAATGATAAAGTGCTTGCTTCATGGGCATCATTTCTAAAATGGGATCTGAACCCAGCTGAGTATATTGGATGTGTTATGAAATAAGCTTCTCTACAGCTTATTTAAACAAAGAGCTGCTGTTAAATCCACTTAGCTAATGCTTAATTGAAATGAAGTACTGAATGAAGACCAAGTGCTCAGGAAGGAAAGGAGGGATGTGCTGATTTACAAGACTTCACTCATTACAGCTAGTGGAGTTTTTCTTGGTCCCCCCCCCCAGTGTTCATACTAAAAATATCCAAACCCTACAAGCTAAATATTTTAGCCAGAGGAAGAAGGGAAGAGAATTGGAAGAGTCAGCTAAACACGAAACTCTAAAATGAACTGCAGCTACTTTTATAGCAGCATTGACGACTGTCACTGACAAAATGAACTTCATTGCTGTATACGAGGTCTCTCACATTGAGAATGATTGTTGCAATGTACCTTTTAAGTCTAGCAGTACTGCTTTTTTAATTTTGGCAAGAAAGAGGAAAGGGGGGAAAAAGGCAACTAAGTGCTAAGGTCCAAGAACTTCCTTGCTACAGAATGATGGTGCAGAGATCAATCTAGCCTTTAAAGGCCTGGTAAGTTAGAAGGAAAAGCTACCTTTACTTTCCTGCTGCAAAAGGAGAAATTGAGAACTGGTAGGACAAGACTAGCGTCCGCATATGTGCGTGTGCATGCTTTCAGTAGTGCAGAGCAGTAGGGGATGAAGTGGAAGGACATAAGAGCACAGTAAAGATGAGCAAGAGGAGATGACAGCAATTCTCTTCCTGCATGCAAGCAGATGTTAGCACAGAGTCAGCAGGGAGTTGGGTGGTACTGATAGCTGATACTGCCTGCAGTCAGCAATGCACAGCCCAGGTTTGATAGCCCATTCTGTAAGGTTCCTATCAGGGGAGACACAGCATTTTTGAAATGAGAAAAAAATCTGTTTTTAAAAGTTTTAAACAGAGATGCACCCAAAATAGTCTTTTACTTTAATGAATCTTTTCACCCTTTAAAGACTGAGAAGATTGACAGAGAGTGCTCAGAAGAAACCCCCCTCTATTATATTTCACTCTAAGCTGCAGCATTTTAACCTCCCAAGACAGACAGCTGCCTGATAACAGAATTGAATTCTTCCCTGTGAGTATATTTGATATTGAGAAGCGCAGTCAGTGAAGCCAGTCAGAATTTCAGAGTATAGGGTCAAGGGAGAAGTAAGCAGCAATAGGTGAATACCAGAAGAGAGGATCTGCTACAGATCTTTAGAAACAAAAGAGAAGATGACATAAGCCTTCCTATGTAACTAGACCTTCTACAGAAGAGTTTTCATAGCTCTTGTGAGAAATTGTTCAGTCACAGAACTTGAGTAATTAAATATAACTCAGTTCTGCCATGAGAAGTCATAGCTTCGAGATTTAGTAGGCTCTAAGAGTTACCTTGGTCTGTGATCAAGTCTGACTCAATTCAGTCACACAATCTTAAAATGCAAGCCTTTATCTGTGAAGGAATGCCAGTAAGACAAAGATGAAAGCATAGTTTGAGATGTGCTCGCCACTGTCAAATTGTTATTTAATGCCACATGTGCAGAGATTTTTGTCGAACAGTGATTAAAGCTGTACATACCAGAGATGTAAGCTACAATTACATGTGGCTTTATTATGGAAGAGCATTTT